GTGATTCTGGAGGCCCGCACGGAGTTCTTGGCTGGGCCCGCGGGCCCATGTCTCAGGAGGGAAGGAAACACACAGACACAATTGATCGTCGATTCCCGAGAAAATGTGGGACATCTGGGAAGTGGGGAGGAAGACAAAAACCCAGAACATATGGGAAATATGGGTAATCCTGTTACTTGTGTCTGTTTATTTAATCGCTTCGCTCATTCCGCCGTCCCTGGAGCGCTATTTGGGGCCTCTTGGGGCCGTCTTGGGGGCCTCTTGGGGGCTTCTTGGGAGCGTCTTGGGGCTCCTTGGCGGCGTCTTGGGCTCCCCTTGGGCCTTTTGGGGGGCTCTTGGGGGCCCCTTGGGGCGGGAGGGGGGCTAGTCGATTGCAGCCCCCCCCTCGGAGGCCACGATCCTCGTGAGGGGTGGCGAAAAATAGCCTCCCCCTGTGTCTGTTTATTTGTGTGTCCCAGGGCCCCTTCCGTGTCGGGGCCCCCCGGGCCGTCAGAAGGGGGCCGGGGGTGCGAGCCGCTGCCCCGCGGGGGAGCGGTCGGGGCTCTTACTTGTCAGAGCTCTCGAGGGTTCAGTCCGGCCTGCCCTTCTACCGGAGAGGTATGGGGGAATAGGGTGGTAAGCGTTGTGGGCGTTACAAGGCGTTCCAAATGCTTGAATGGCATAGCATGGCATAGCATGGAATAGCATGGAATAGCATGGCATAGCATGGAATAGCACAGCATAGCATGGCAAAGCGAGAAGAGTCTAGGCTTCGTGCGATTGCGAATGGAATTCATTCTTTCGTGGGGAAGCGGAACCCCGAGCCGAAAATCAGAAAAAACAGAAAAAAACAGTTTTTTCTTTCTGGTTTTCGTTTTCTTTTGGATTTTCCTCCGCCCTTCTTTCCCTTATATTTTTTTCCTTCCGAACCCGAAAATAGGAAAAACAAACGAAATTCAAGAAAAACAAAAAGATCCGTAAACAAGCAAAGAAACCTTTTTGTTTTTTACAGAACAAATCAGAAAATTCAAACCAAGACCATGGTTCTGATTGGTTGTTACTGTTTTTTCTTGGAAAACCATTTTTTAATATATATACACGGATTTTCTGTTTTTTTTAAGGTTCTTCGTTTTTTCGGATTTTCCTCCGCCCTTCGTTCCCTTGGAACCATTTCCTTCCGAACCCGAAACCTTGGTGTTGATTGTTGTTGTTTGTATTTTGGATTGAAACAAATGGTTCCTTTGATTTGTTAATGTCTGTTTCTGATGTCCTTTGCTGTTTGTACGTTTTGTTTGTGTGTGTGTGTGTTTTTGCGTTTGGTTTTCGTTGTAATTGTATTAGGCACGTTATCCTTCCGCATTGCTTCTATGCTTATCCCCTGTCTTCTTCGTTTCTTTCTTTCTCCCCCCCTCCTTCCTTCCCTCCTCATCCCTTCCCTCATTATCATTACAATCGTTTATCATTTCCTATGTTCCTTCCATTACTGTAATGCAGATTGCAACTTCATTGGGTTGCGACTTGATGCAATGTCCCGCGCGACGGTGCCGCCTCCTTGGCGGCAGACGGGAATGCCATGCGTTTGCAGTGCAATGCAATGCAATGCCGAGGAGGGAGGAGGAGTGAGGACGGAGGGGGGGAGAGTGGTGGAGAGGCCTCCACATATTGATTCCTGAGGGCTCCACACATTGATTCCTTGTGTGGAGGGGCCTCCACATATTGATTCCTGTTGTGGAGGGGCCTCCGCAAATTAAATCCTTATGTGGTTGGGCCTCCACAGATTGATTCCTTCTGCCGAGAAGTCTCCACATATTGATTCCCTGTGTGGAGTGGCCTCCTCACATGGATTCCTTCTGTGGCTCTCCTGTGCCTAGCAAGGGAGGGAGTTGGCAGGAGCGAATGAGGATGTAAGGCGGGAGGATGGGGGGAGGCGCAGAGGGGTTGGGAGGGAGGGGGCGAGGGGAGGGAGAAGGAAACGGTCGGAGTCCCTTCCTTCAGCCCCAGTAGGAACGCAGTAAGAATGCGATGCGATTGCAACGCAATGCAATATCATGCGTTTGCAGTGCAATGCAATGCAATGCCGAGGATGGAGGAGGAGTGAGGACGGAGGGGGGGAGACTGGTGGAGAGGCCTCCACATATTGATTCCTTATGTGGGAAGGCTCCGCACATTGATTCCTTGTGTGGAGGGGCCTCAACATATTGATTTTTGTTGTGGATGGGCCTCCGCAAGTTAAATCCTTGTGTAGTTGGGCCTCCACATAAAGATTCCTTATGTCGAGAAGCCTCCACATATTGATTCCCTGTGTGGAGTGGCCTCCTCACATGGATTCATTCTGTGGCAGAGGGAGGCACCCTCCTGTGCTTAGCAAGGGAGGGAGAAAGGAGGCAGGGAAGGAGTGTGTCAGGCGGGAGGTTGGGGGGAGGCGCAGAGGGGTTGGGAGGGAGAGGGCGAGGGGAGGGAAAAGGAAACGGGCGGAGGCCCTTCCTCCAGCCCCAATTGGAACGCAGTAAGAATGCGATGCGATTGCAACGCAATGCAATATCATGCGTTTGCAGTGCAATGCAATGCAATGCCGAGGAGGGAGGAGGAGTGAGGACGAAGGGGGAGAGACTGGTGAAGAGGCCTCCACATATTGATTCCTTATGTGGGAAGGCTCCACACATTGATTCCTTGTGTGGAGGGACGTCCACATATTTAATCGCTTCGCTCATTCCGCCGGCCCGTATTGTGCCATCGCAGGCGTTTGCTTGCGCGTTCGTGGCCTCTTGGAGCCTCGGTGGGGCCGTTTGGGGCCTCTTGGCGCCTCTTTTTAGGCCTCTTGGAGAACTCGGGAGGCCTCCAGGGGGCCTCCTGAGCTCTCGTGACGGTCTCTTGGGGGGCTTTCGGCGGGCTCTTGGCGGTATTTGTTGGTCCTCTTGGGGCCTGGGGCCTGACGTTGTTGGTCCTCTTGGGGCCTCACGGGAGCTTATTGGGGCGTCTTGGGGGTGTCTTGGAGAGTCTCTTGGGGCCTCTTTCGGGGTCCTGGGCGCCTTCTGGGGCGGAGGGCTCGATTTTTTAGTTCTCGGTTCCCTTCTTGAGCCCCTCTTGGGCCCGTCTTGGGGCCTCTTGGTCCGCCTTGGGCAGCACTTGGGCCGTCTGGGGGGCGCTCTTGGGCCGCTCCGGGGCCGTCTTGGGAGCCTCGTGGGCCGTCTTGGAGCAGTCTTGAAGGCCTCTTGGGCCCTCTTGGAGCGTCCGGAAGCGAAAAGGCCAGAACGCAAAAAAACATAGAAAAAACCAATGAAAATCAACGATTTTGGCAACTTGGGGCCCTCTTCGGAGGCCTCTTGGAAGGAAGGCCCTTGGAGCGTCTTGGAGGCCTCTTGGGCTGTCTTGGGGCCATCTGGGGCGTCTTCGGGCGATCTGTGGGAAGGCTCCACACATTGATTCCTTGTGTGGAGGGACGTCCACATATTGATTCTTGTTGTGGAGGGGCCTCCACTATCATCACCATCCCCACTCACGTCATCAGCATCATTGTCATCATCGTCGTCGTTGTTACCATCCTCATCGTAACCATCATCGTAATCATCATCGTTATCACAATCATGATGTCACATTATCTTCATCATCGCTATCGAGAGAAAGCCAAAAGTTTACCATCCTATTCCCCTGCTCTCCTACCGGAGGAGTATTCCGAAATAGTTAAAAATAGTCCGGGGACCATTTCTTGACTATTTCTGATAATTTTTTTGGTACTTTTTGGGGTATTTTTTAAACTTTATCCCCCTGTAGGGGGATAAGCCCGACCTAACTCGAGGGTGTGAGGGCGCATCGAGACGACGGCAGCTGGTCTTCGGGGGGCCCCCTCGTCGCCACGGCTGGGCGCAGCTCGGGGATCTGTTGCGTTTGGGCCCCTGAGGGTCCCGGGACCGATTTCGAGCCGCCGTTGACTCGACTCGCTAGCTTTCCCTTTTCCCCGCTCGCTACCCCCCGTCCCGCATGGCGGCCGCGCCCGGCGCAGCGCGGCTTCGGCCCGGTGCCCGGCGCTCGCACGCGATGGTCCTGTTTCATTTTGCCGCCTCGGCGGCCCCGCGGTCCTGGGCGCAGCGCGGCCCTGTCCCGGCCCTGGGCTCCGCGGACAACGGCAGCGCCCTGGCACAGCGCGGCTTCGACCCGGTCCCGTGCGCTCGCCACTGCAGGGCAGGACTCGTTCCACCTCCTGCAGTACACCGGCACCCTGTCGGTCGTCACAGGCGGCATGATCCTGGCGTGTCCTGGCTGCCGCGCCTCAGTCACTGCGGCTCCTGTGCCCTGGGCCCGTGGCACCCTGGACGACCACGGCCTGGGCTTCTCGCTCCTGCTACCTGTTCGATGGCACAACGTTGTACTTCAGCTCAGCTATGCTCCCCACCCTCCCTGGTTTTTGACGCCGCTTGGGTACAAGGCGCGTTACCTCTCGCCGCTAACTCGAGGCTGGTGTATATGATGAGCCGTGGACGGCAACACCAACCGCAGCATTTTGCTTCTGCCGGTACTTCGCCACCGGGTTCCTGTGCGAGGCGTTCCTTTGCAAGCGCGTCCTTTTCGGCACCGCCTGTTCCCGAGGTTTTGCCTCCTCCCGGCCTCGCCGTGAGGCTGCGCTCGTCCCCTTCCCCCCCTCATTGTTAATTCAAGCTTCGCGCGGCCCGCTGAGCGTCGACCAGAAGAGGTGCGCTCTCGACCCGCGAATCACAATTCAACTATCTCGACTCGCTCTGCTCCGAGCGCATCGCCCACGTCCCCTTGTTGCGCCACTGATCTCGCGCCGAGCCGAACTGGTTGCCTGTTCGTGTGATATAACGTCCGTGGGCTTGACGGTACGCTTGGGCTCCTCAGGCAAGGCACCACCGTCTTTCCGTCGGTGTGTGAGTCAAGCGGTTGGTCAGTCAGGAGGGGTGCCGTCTGCCCCCTGGCCAGACCCGCCCTCCGCGAGCTCCAGAGTGCTGGAGTCGACTGCGAGTTCACAGACCTTTCCGCCCTTTCCGGTCGGTCGCGCCCGCCAGGGCACCAGACATGGCGGCTGCTGGTGCCCTTGCCGTCTTGGCGCTCAGCCATTGGTTCCGCCACCTTGTGCAGCATTACGACCGCACGAGGGCGAACGCGACGAAGATGGCGGGCGGCCCCGAGTGGACGGGTTTCGAGAGTGAGTGCTTCGGCGTCGGTGCCCAGTGTTTGAGGTGGAGGACGAGCCAGCGTCTTTCTAACCGAGGGAAGTTTATCGTGCAGTTTTGCGCGGGGTCGATGTCAAGAGAGCACCATCCGCCATCAGGGCTACTTATCGCGCACAACATACCTTTGTTGCCAACAGCTTGGGTAACCGCCTCACCGCCAAGGCTACCGCTGCTCTTCAACGGGAGGTGGAGCATCTGGGTGGGTGGGTGTGCGCTAGTCGACAACATGCCGCTGCAGGCAAAAACCACCTGCCAGTGCCGCCGCCTCCTTTCTCCTCCTCCACTATGACATACTATCTTCCCTTACCGCCCCCTCTTCATGGACAGTCGCCGCTAGCCATTGGGGCTACCCGTGCTCGCCATCAGGGCTGGACTCCCCATTCGGCATAACAGCTCCTACTCTCCTACTGGAGGGCGCCTCTCGCCATCAGGGCTACTGCTGCACACAGCAGGGGCCGTGGGCTAATGGGCGTGGATGGGGTGTACCCGCGCCGCGCCACCGCCACACGCGGCCAGACCCGCCTCCACTTATTTCTTCTTCGGCGATACACTGCCGTTTTTAATACATGCTCCGCGTGCGGACCATGTATTACAAATAAAGGGTTGATTAATACATACAAGGATGATTGTATGAATATTCTTTCATACATGAAGCATGCTTTTTCTTATTTACATCTTTAATCCCATGTATTTAAAAGTGCCCTGTACGATTCATTTTTTCTTCCTCCCTCCCCTGTCAGCTGTCGCTTGCCGCTGGCTCCCCTCGCAGATGCCGAAACCAGCGATGGAATTCGCCAGGCTGATACTCTCGATCGCCCCCCAAAGGCCGACCGGCCCGGGGGGGAGGGCTGCGAGAGACGTTCCCTTCAGTCATCAGGAATCAGGAATCAGGAGGAGGAGGAGGAGGAGGAGGAGGAGGAGGAGGAGGAGGAGGAGGAGGAGGAGGAGGAGGAGAGAGGAGGAGGAGGAGGAAGGAGAGAGAAGGAGATGAGGAGGAGGAGAGAGGAGGGAGGAGGAGGAAAAGGAGGAGGAGGAGGACGAGAGAGGAGAAGGAGGAGGAGGAGGAGAGGAGGAGAGGAGGAGGAGGAGGAGGAGGAGGAGGAGAGGAGGAGGAGGAGGAGGAGGGAGGAGGAGGAGGAGGAGGAGGAGGAGGAGGAGGAGGGGGAGGAGGAGGAGGAGGAGGAGGAGGAGGAGGAGGAGGCGGAGGAGGAGGAGGAGGAGGAGGAGGCGGAGGAGGGAGGAGGATGGAGAGGAGGCGGAGGAGGAGGAGGAGGAGGAGGAGGAGGAGGAGGAGGAGGAGGAGGAGGAGGAGGAAGAATAATAATAATAAGAAGAATAATAAGAATAATAATAAGAAGAAGAAGAAACATAAGAAGAATAATAATAATAAGAATAATAATAATAATAATAAGAAGAATAATAAGAAGCCGACGAATAAGAAGAAGAAGAATAAGAAGAACACGAAGAAGAATAATCAGAATAAGAATAAGAAGAAGACGAATCAGAATAATAAGAAGAATAATAATAAGAATAATAAGAAGAAGAAGAATACTAAGAATAATAAGAATAATAATAAGAATAATAATAAGAAGAATAAGAATAATAAGACGAATAATAAGAATAATAATAATAATAAGAAGAATAACAATAATAATACGAAGAAGAAGACGAATAAGAATAAGAATACGAATAATAAGAAGAATAATAAAAATAAGAAGAAGAAGCATAATAATAATAAGAAGCAGAAGAAGAATAATAATAATAATAATAATAATAAGAAGAAGAAGCATAAAAATAATAAGAAGAATAACAAGAATAATAAGAAGAGGAAGAATAATAATAATAATAATAATAATAAGAATAATAATAATAAGAAGAGGAGGAGGAGGAGGAGGAGGAGGAGGAGGAGGAGGAGGAGGAGGAGGCTGGACTTGACCAAACAAGGTCTTACAAGACGAATTTGGCCTCAAGGCCCGCCCAGGCACCTGGCCTACGCACCCGCGCGTAGCGAGCTGCGCGCGGGCACTAGGATCAGAACCCTGGGCGGTCTTCGGGACCCTGGGCCGCACGGGCCCTCAACCTCGACGCGGGTGCCTCGGCTCGGGTTTCTAAAGCTCTCGACCCCAACCGCTGGGCACGGGCCAGCTGGAGCCCGAAGTACGGCAACACCTCCAGGACGGTCGGCCTCTTCGGGCCGTCGGTCGGGGGACCCGTTTGGGCCTGCACGGAACCACCGCGGGAACAATACCCAGTCCAGAAATCGATTTCAGATGCAGAGGGCGACTTGAGGCCACCAAGAAGCCCTGTCCCGCTCGTGGGGTGCTTCCCACGCGTGACACTGCTACGATTCTTCTCGGCACAGGGGATCGGGCCCCCAGAACATGCATCCTGGAGGCCTCGTTCCGTCTTACCAGAACTGTACCCACAGCGCGTGGAGCAATACAACAAGAGACAATTCGGTCTCGATGCATCGCGGGCATTTTGATCCGCGAAGATCGGTGCCGCGAGCAGCGCGTGCGCCCGCGCACGCGCCACGGCCGCAGGCCGCCGTCTGCGGCAGCCCGCTGGCCCCCCGTCCGTGCCGAGGGAACTGGCCTCAGGCTTCACGCCGTCGTCTCCGACTCGTCGTGACCCTCGGGCCGCTCGCCCAAGGCGATCAGCTTGAGCGTCCGTAGCCATTGTGGCTCAAATCCGTAGCGTGGCCCGCGCGTCGGACGGGAACATTGTGGCATTGGGGACGCCTCAGAGGCGCAAGCGGCCCCGGCAGCATTCTGGTGAGGTATTGGAGGGCCAGCCCCCACCATTTTCTCGCACCCATAGTTTGCAGATGGTTGTGCAGCGCCATGCGCCATGGCACAACACGTTTGTTTACAGCGCGTGGGTGCAGGGTGGAAAAGCGAAAGGAGGAGGCAAAGGTAAATATTCCGACTTGTGGCTCGAGTATCCACCAGTGTCGAGGGGACAATTGCCGAACCAGCGTGATCACTACGCGAGAGCGTCAGGGTGCTGAGGAAATCGCCGAGGGCGGCCAATGGTGGAGTACAGCGCCTGTGGCAAAAAGCTCTTCGAAGATCGCCTCAACTCGAAGAATTGGAAATGCGAGGGTGGTTGCAAATTCAGTGAAGATGAGATGGTTTCTCCTTTTTCTTCTGGTCAGCGCGATGGGGGCCAGCAGTCAGCTCCCAAACTCTCGCCAAAAACTCAGGTTCGGAAGTTGGTATCCCTTCTGCCTGCCAAGGTCCATGGCGCGGCTCGGGGGCTCCTGCAGGCCCTGGACGAGCCAGCCCCCGAGCCCCCTCTCCAGCCAGGGCAGGGTCTGCAGCAGGCGTCGGCTTGAGCCAATCGCACCAACAAGCAGCTTGAGAAGGTCATGGCTGCGTGGATCCGTCACGAGCGTGATCCCGAGAAGGAAGAAAAAGGATCGGCGAGATGTCACTGAAGAGGTGCAGCGCTCCGAGTCTGAGGATATTGCAGCGGCGAAGCAGTTCTTGCCCCACACAGCTCTAGTCAAGAAAGCAGCCTCTGCTGATGTGCAGCAGATCTTGGCCGGCAAATTTGAGATCGATTTCGAATCGCAGTTGGCTGGGGCTCGAGGTGCTGAAAGAAGATCGCCAGATGCTCGACGGAGCCACGCAGATGCTGCAGAAGGCTCTTTCAGAGGACGTTCGGGCGTCGCGCGGAGCCCTGCAGGCGAACACCGATCAGCACAACGAGCAGCTTGCGGCCGTTGTTGAGAGGGCGAAGAAGAAGAGGAAGGTGCCAGAGGCTCCAGAGGGGCAGCTGGCTCAGGAGGTGGGGCGCCAGCAGAGGAGGCAGCCCAAATCCCTGTCCCGGGAGATTGACCAGAGGTCGACCTTTCAACCTGCTGCTGCAGGGGAAGGCGGCAGTCTGGACCTCCGACAGGCCCGCCTCGAGCGCGAGGTGGGGGGCCCGGCGGGGGGCAGTCGAGCGAGCGAGGGGCAGGGGCGAGGGTCGGACCGTTGATGCTGTTGCCCAAGATGTGAAGAGCCTGCGCATGGGATGCTCCCTGGATGGGGCTTCCCAGCGAAGGGCCTTCTGAAGGGGAGAGACCACGATGTCCCCGTATTTCCAGAACTGAATCTTCTCCCAGGAGGACGCCGCGACGTCCTGCACGAATGGGGCGCGTCGGGTTGCCGTGCGGTAGTTGCGCCGTCGCACCCAGCGAGTGGCGCGAAGAGAGCAGGGGGCGTCCATGCAGGAGTTTTATAGCGCTACCAGTTCCAGTCGTTCAGACACTTGGCGAACCAGCATACGCAGCAGATGGGGCTCGGGATGGCTGGCGATCCAAGGGGCGCCGAGCAGAAGGGGCTTATACTTCAAAGACCTAGTTGCGTTTCAGCTGAAGATCGGAGGCCGGTCGGTTGCCGTCCTGGGGGTGTTACTCACTGCGGGCGCAGCTCGAACGTTCGCAGTTTTCATCCAGATAGGCCAGCTGGCCGCGCACCTTGGTTGGCTATCGGTGACTTCAACGCGGGGCCGCGCGAGTTGGAGAAGATTGGGTGGCCCGGGCTGGTGGGGGATGCCATAGGGGCGGTAGATGGTTCAGATTGCGCGTGTACTTTGGGCATGAAGAGATTGATTGATGATGTGATGGCGCCACCGTCCGCGGCCAGATTTATTGATTCCTTCACTGTGGGCGGCGCAGCCTGCCATGAGTCACTGGTCCTAAACGTGCCCTTGCCTGGGGTCTGCCTGGATGAAAGGGGCCGTCCGCTGGATTGGGCGCTTGCCACTGCGCCCGATCAGCTTGCCGCGTGCGCGCTGGTTCAGAATCCGCGCGTCAGGGCGCAGCGACGCGCTGAGCGGCTGGTTGTTTGATTGCAGCGACATGCCCTGGTTTGCTTCGGGGGCGTCTGTGGGCATCGGGGTTGTCCGCGGGGTTTGAAACAGCATTGGAGTGGTGGTGCCTGTTCCATTGGGGGGCAGGGGCCGCCGCTCCGTTGCGTATGGGCCTGCCCGCGGGAGCGTCGTTGCAATCTCGCGCC